TTTTTTTTTTTTTTTTTTTTGCTTGTATATCGTATGAAAATTTTTTCTGGTAATCGATTTTAGCATCTGTGTGGCATATTTTTCAGGTAACTGAAGAGGTGAAGAAAATTTTGGAAGAAGAAGGCTTTGAACTGGAATGTCGCGGTACTATCAAAGTCAAGGGTAAAGGCGAAATGGTGACGTATTTCTTGAAGGTTCCGAAAGATGAGTCAAATGGTGATCTTAGTTAATGTAAACTTTTCATCTGCATTTTCAACATCGATACCATCAACGCCATCGTCACTACCATCTGGTCACCGCTAATTGTGTGACCATCGCCAACTTCATCATTATCAGCATCACTGTTAGCGATGCCACTTTAGGTAAAAAAGATGGTCAGACTTACTAAAACGGGACGGTTGCAGCAGTACTGTGACGTGTAGAATTCATGAAAGATATATAAAAGAAAAAAGCCAAAATTTTTTTCATTATGTTTCTTCTGATAAAACAGTTGCTTCTTGACAGATTTTTATAACAAAGTGTACTACTAATTGTTTTTTTTTCTTTTTCAGTTTTGTCATCTTTTTGTTGGCATTATGTGATCTCAAACTACAGCAAATCTATTCTTTTTCCCATATTCATTTTGAACACTATTTTTATTGCAGTTACTTTCCACTCTCAGGTTTTTTATACATTTTCTTTTTTACTTCCACAGCATACTTTTTTTTTTGGAGTACTCTTTTTCTGTAAATTTTGCAAATAAAAATTGAGTATAAAGAATAATAAAGGGTTTATTCAACTTTTTTTTTTTTGATGTATCACGTGTTTTTTGTTACCAAAATTTGCTTAAAAACACCGAATAGTAAAGAGTTTAGATGTTATTTTTTTGCTGAAAAGAAAGCTGGTTTTTTTCTGTGGGTTTTTTCTTGGTAATTATTTAGTATTTGTAGAGTGTGTTTTTAAAACTTTGCTGCATTTTTCTTCTATATTTTTTTAGAAAATGTGTGCATACCGTACTTCTTTTTTTCATCTCTTTTACGTTAATGGTTCAATTATCTACTGTATTCTCCTTCTTCGTTTTGTTTTCTTCGTGAAATTCATAGTATGTAAATTAATTAGTGAAAATCGTGGATTGTGTGTATCTGTGTATCTGTGTATCGGTGTGAGTATCTGTGTGTGTGTGTATTCATATCTGCATGTGTAGTGTTTTTGCGTGTGAGTAAGATAAAGATA